CACATGGTCACCTAAAATAAGAACATTTCCAGCACCTTACCAGTTAGGGGTTGCCATGTGACTAAGTTCTGGCCAATGGCATGTAAGACGTGAGCTGTGCACTTAAAAGATGAAATCTTAAAAGCAGAGGATGTGCTCCTTCTTCCAGTCTTCTGGCTTCCTGCCACGTGAACTATGGTTGTGACAACAAGAGGTACCTTAGGGCATCAGGACAACAGCGTTCATAGATAATTCAACCATCGGGTTCTAGCATTACTGCACATTTTCCAAACAAGAAGTATCGGCAACTTTTTTTCATACTATCTTATTCAGAGCATTTGTAAATCAGACAGCTTTGGAAGATAGAAACAATGTCTTTCTTTGGGACAGAGAGCAGAACTGTTTCTTCTCCAGAATAATAATGCCTCTCTCCAGAGCAAAAGTTAGGTAGGTTTGTTGGCATCCTCTTTTAAAGAATAAGCATTTCGCCCTAACTGGTTTGGCTCAATGGATAGAGGGTCAGCCTGCAGACTGAAAGGTCCCAGGTTCGATTCCAGTCAAGAGCATGTACCTTGGTTGCGGACACATCCCCAGTAGGAGGTGTGCAGGAGGCAGCTGATCAATGTTTCTCTCTCATCAATGTTTCTAACTCTCTATCCCTCTCCCTTCCTCTCTGTAAAAAAATCAATAAAATATATTTAAAAAAAGAATAAGCATTTCATAAACTCAGTGACCTTCAAATGTGAGAAAAACCCACTGTGTGTCAGCATTTCCCCGAGTCTCTCTGCATCAGCCTGGTGGGACTTGGGGGGACGTGAAGCAGCAATATGAACATGAAGCTCATACTGTCTATTGTGCGGTGAGTAATGAAGTATTTTTCTCTGACCCAGGAATCATGTGTCTTCTTTCAGCTGTGATGGGGAATCTGTTAGTTGCCAAGTAGGGTTAAATTCTTACTCTTTACAGTTCATGGCAAAGGGTCAGACTCTACATATGACATAGTTATAAATGGGAACAGCCTGGCTCTCAGTACCTACAAAGCCACTTTACACATATTTGACCCATATCCTAATACAAGATTTCTTTCCTGCAACTGCTATTTTGTAGTTACTAGAATAGTAGATATGTGATACTCAGGCACATGGCAACTAGACCTCAACACACTGACAACTGGTCACTAAACTTTAGGTAAAACTCATTGGCATGCTGAATAAACACATACATTAGGGAAAGCGGTAGGGGAGACTCAGATTCTTGCCATACTCAGCAAAATTCTACAAGAGTTTGCTAAAGTCAGGAATATTTCTGACTCCCTGCCAATGTTTGGCTTGCAAGGGAAATACTAGTTAATATGCACAGCAAACTGAACTATGACCTTGATGATCTCTAAGAATATTGTTTTTTTGTCCTTTTCTCATTGCCTCAGAGTGAAGTTCCAACTCTATAGCAGGACACACAACCCCCTTCATTCTCCTTTTAATCTTCTCATTCTACCAGCTGAATCTCTTCTTTCCCTCCCATCACTACAACCTCTTCCATCAACATGACATACCTGCCACTCTTTATTTGTCACCTTCTATGACCTTTCATGACCCTTGTCTTTACTCATAATATTTCCCTACATGTAATGCTTTTTCCTTACTTCATCTTTCAAATTTCTACTCATCTTTCAACTCTAAGTTAAAATGTCAAATTTCCTTTCTCGCTCTGAAACTGTCAGCTGTCACTTCCTATGTTATCAGGGTACAGATTCTTCTTTGCTCTTCAGATTCTCAACATCTAACTTGTCCTTGTAGTAACAAAGCAGGAAATCAATCTACACTATATTTAAATAGATTGTGAGGGGAGATCTGAGAAGATAACCTTTGATAATTGTCCATAAAGTTTGATGCATACCTTCTAGCATTTATTCTAACTGCTTATAATATAATGTTTATATCCTTGGTTATTTTTATAACTTTAATGTAATTACAGTAATAGTTATTATTATTGTTATTTATTTTTACATTTAAATTTTTAGTCACTTAGCAAATTTCCATTTCAAAATAAGTGGATTATAGATAGTGGTTAATAACATATATTTGTAAAGTACACAATTTTCAAGGTCTTTTCAAATACTGAAATGCATTTATTGATTTTAACAATAGATCCATAAAGCAGTCCTAAAGGACACTATCATATATTTTACATAAGTTAAGTTTTCTGATTTCTTTTTCACAGCTTGTTCTTGAGGAAAAAAAATTGGTTTATTTATTCTTTTCAACTAATTTTTCCCTAACATTATCAATAATTTATGTTATATTATTAAAGTTATAATAAATTTATTACTGATCTGTAGACTATATAATACCATGAAGGGCATTAAAAAGGCTAGATATAAAGTGAAAGAAACCACTGATAATCTAGCTTAGCCTTTAGTAAATCATTTACAAAGTAATAGTTACCATACACATATAAAACACTTATTTTACAAAAGAAACTGTCAAAAATTAGGTCATTTGTATTAAAGCATTACATAAATTTCTTTATTCTATAATCCCTTGTGTTATTAGACTTTATTAGGGGAAGTTTACGTAGAAGAGAGACTGAATGAATAGTGGTTTGTAATATATGTAATTATATTAAAGAATCAATTATGATATTACAAACTTTATGGGATTGTTTAATTTCCAAATAAAAGTCTATACTAATAGGTTCAATATTGACTTTTATATTGTAAGCAATATGTTATATTAATTACCATTACTTTTATATACATTTAGCTATATATTTGTATATGTTAGCATATTTAATAATCTTAGAAAAAGAAAATGTATGATATATTGCTGCACAGGAATAATGTATTATCAGCAACACTGAGTTCAGATGTAGCAATACCATAATTTATCACTGTTATATGTATAAATAAATAGAACAGCTTAAAGTCAATAATTTCTTTAAAACAATAGACAAAAGAGAGAATGCTTTTCTTATATATAAAATATGTGCTTCATGTGAAGATTCCCAATAAGCAAAATTCCTGCAAAAATATTTAGTTAAATTTTAATAATAATACATCAAGCTTATTGCATACTTCCCTTGAGTTAGACCTTCGATATAAGTAAAACAAAAACATAAGTGAAGTTCAGATTTCAGAAAGTTTTTAGGAAGATAAAATCTTCTGAGTGAATAATTATTTCACTTCTGGGTGCTTTTGCAGGCTAAATTGTTCGATACTTGTTCTACAAAATGTTCCTATTAGTTAATATCAACATGTTGCAAGATTGAGAGCTGGCAGACAACTTGTTGAGTAATCAAGCAAAAAATCATTATGTCCATAAAGGGCACACTCAGGCAATCAGAAACACTTTATCGTGGCAGGCATTCAAAGAAACTTAAACAGCTTTAAAAAATAAGTCTCCAGTATTTGAATCAGTTTAGCCATCATATTTTAGAGTTAGTAAAATATAATAGAGCATAAATTTGTAAATATAAGACCTGAATTAAATTATATTGTAAGCAGTAATGTCTTCCTGAACATTTATTTATAAATTGAAAAGTACTGAATTGTCTATTTACCAATATATTAAGCATAATATCCACTAATAAGACAAAAAATTCATAACATCTAACCATATTAAAACCCAAGCAAGTAATATCACCCTCTGCTCAAAAAATGTCTTATGGCTTCCTGTTTCACTCAGAGTGAATGTCTACAAATACCTGTATGAGGTTCACCCTGTACTCCCTACCTCTCACCTCATCTGCCACTCCTCCCTCAATCTCTGCTCCAGCCACTCTGGCTTCCTTGCTGCTCCTGGACCTTGGTAGTTACCTGTTCTGCCTGCTCGAATCTTCTCTGGCAGATACTCCTGAACTCACATCCAACCACTATTATCTTCTTCAAATTTTTCTGCGAACATCATCTTCTCAGTGAGAACTTCCTTGATGATATATTTAAAATTATAACCACAACCCCTCTCTTACCATTGCACACTTGGCCCCACTTCCCTGCTCTGTCTATGTTTATAGCACCCAGTCTTTATAAAGAAGTATATGTGTTTATTTTGTATGTTATGTCTACCCCTTATTCCAGAAGAATTCAGTGTAGGAATATTTATCCTGTTTTGTTCATGGATATATTTGCAAAACTTTAGATGATGTGTGTGGCATAAACTAGGCATTGAAAAGTATGTGTTGAGCGAATTAATAAATAAATGCCACTCTGTACCTCACTGTGATGAAATTTCCATAGTGATGACCAAATAGAAAAGATCTATTTTATTATAAATATTTTATTTTTAATCATTTAAGTATAATTTATGGTGTAGCACTTATTTTCCCAGATATGTAGCACACTTGTCATTAATGAAATAACTATAGGAAAATGAGTGTATTAAGTAATAAGTTTCAGCGATATTCAGTCAGATTAACATGACTACACACTATTTTCCTGTAAAGACTTATCTATGTAACACATTAGCTATAGGTTAAGCACTGATTAAGGAAGCTGATGTTATGACAATACTTGTTTAGATATTCCATTTAGTTAGTGTTCTAAAGAGTAGGGACAGAAACAAGAAGTAGGCATGATTTATTTGCCAGTGCAAACCAATTGCTCATCAAGTAAGATAATCAGTTTTCTTTTGATTATGGGAATTTTCAAGGAAAATTGGGTGTAAACATATCTTATTCTATATTTTAAATAATTCCTTAATATGTATTAAAATGATATATTAAAATATTGAATTAGTATGGCATAAGCAGTGTAAATCTATCTAACATCCTAGAAATAACTGAGGTTAGAAAATTATAGTTGTTTTAATTTCATCTGGTATTCTGCATCTAAGAATGATGGGAACTCTAGGCTTATGCAGTTATTTATAAAGTACCTCTAACAAAAATTTCCATGTGAAGGAGTATTTCAAATATATTTGAGACTCATACTGTGATTAAATTTATTTATAAATGACATTTCTTTTTCTACATTTTGTCATCCATACTATAGTATTAAGTCATGGTTTTCCAATTGTGTTTTCTAGGTTGTACTCAGTTGGAGGCCGTGATGGAAGTTCGTGTTTGAGTTCAATGGAGTATTATGATCCTCATACAAATAAGTGGAACATGTGTGCTCCAATGTGTAAAAGAAGAGGGGGTGTTGGAGTAGCCACATGTGATGGTTTCCTTTATGCAGTAGGAGGTCATGATGCTCCTGCTTCAAATCACTGTTCCCGGCTACTTGATTACGTAGAAAGGTAAGACCTCAAGGACACTGCTAAAGTGAGAGACAGTGCAAATTATACTGATGCCTAGTCCAAAGGCTTGCAAAAACTAGATTTAGGAAAGGTAAATTCCACCCCTAGAGCTTCTTCTCTCAATATCTCTAATTTTCCACTGCTAAATTCTTGGGGAAAATGACAAAGAAAATTAATATGATGAGGCTCCTACTTTTACCGTGAATACCTTGTATAAATGCTACCAATGAAATGATATTTCATACAAATATTCTCTTCTAACTTTACTGTATAATGTATTGAAATGTTGTTTGTGAACAGAGACATAAATAATTCAGTCTAGGAATACATTTATGGTGCAAAATTAGATTTAAATAAGCATAGCTATTTTAAGTTATAGGAGTGCAGTGGGTATAAGCTGCTTAAGTAATGCAGAAGCACATGGCATTATCCTGATTCTTATTCAAGCTCATACCCTGTGGCAGATTAATAGCATTTTTGCACTTTCTACAACATATATTCTGTATTAATGATTTCACATGTACATCATCAATAAATCAAGGTACTTCTGTAAAATTATTTTGCACATATGATGTAAAAATGTTTATAATTATAGGCAAATAAATCATTAGGAATAGCAAGAAGTAGTGTACAATGCTGTTTTAAACATAAATAGGTGGGTGGATATGTAGATGGACAAATTTTATTATCGGACAATAATTCTTATGGAAATGTAAAGGTATTATATAATGGTGGTGTTCAACTACATTTATGTAATATTTATGAAAAAAATTTAAAGAGTCAGGCTGCCTTACACACAAAGAACACTGGCATTTCAAATCAAATAAGGTAACAAGACAGAGACTGAGCATGAATAGGAACGTTAGAATAGTTGATGAAACAGAGAAAACTAATTCTGTAGCCAAGCCTCACTCCATGGACAACATCTTAGGGGACAAAATCAATATCCAAAATATGCAGTAAGTTCTAGCAAATTTAGGCCCAAGAGGTGCACTCCATTAGAAAAATCACATTCTTCTATTTACTTATTCAATATATATTTCAGGTGTATTTTTCACTGTGCTACATAGAGCTTAAAATGTATTGGAAGAAAGAGACAAAGAAATAGCTAATTCGAACTCTTTAAGATCAAAAACAAAACTAGAAACCAGACAGTGGATCAGAAAAGATGCTGAAAGGCATCAGTCTACTGCTGGCTAATAACAGATCAGGACCACCTTTACCTTCAAATTTGCATCCCAATAATGAGAACTGGTAGGAGAGGAGTGTCAAGACAACAAGAACCTACTACGCCTGCCTTTGTAATGCCCACTCTTGCTTCTTAGAATCTTTTCTTGTGTAGTAGCCAGAGGGATCTTTCCATAATGCACACTTGATCTGAAAGCACACGCGTTTTCAGTGTCAAATATCAATCCTATATAATAAAGGGGTAATATGCAAATTGACCATCACTCCAACACACAAGATGGCCACCCCCATGTGGACACAAGATGGCTGCCACAAGATGGCTGGCAGGGGAGAGCAGTTGTGGGTGATCAGGCTGGCAGGGGAGGGCAGTTGGGGGCAATCAGGCTGGCAGGGGAGGGCAGGTGGGGGGGGACCAAGTCTTCAGGGGAAGGCAGTTGGGAGCAACCGGGCATGCAGAAGAGGGCAGTTGGGGGCAATCAGGCCAGCAGGAGAGCAGTTAGGCATTGATCAGGCTGGCAGGGGAGTTGTTATGGGGGTGATCAGGCTGGCTGGCAGAAGCAGAAGCGGTTAGGGGCAATCAGGCAGGCAGGCAGAAGCAGTTAGGGGAATCAGACAGGCAGGCAGGCGAGCAGTTGGGAGGGGTCCCAGATTGGAGAAAGTGCAGGCTGGGCTGAGGGACATCCCCCCCCCCCCGCCCCCCGCCCAGTGCATTAATTTCGTGCACTGGGCCTCTAGTGTTATAATAAAAAATATTTGTTTTACATGAATTTTTCCACTAAACTAGGTTCTATGTGCTGATAATGATCAAGATTAGCTTGTCTATGCCCATGTTCCTATAGTTGGCACAATCTTTGGCACAGAGTAATCATTCAACAAAGAATTTATCGAATCATTCAGACAGTAAAAAGAACAGTCCTCAAATTACTTACAAGGAAAAGCATCTTAAGGTATACTGCAAATAAGTGCTTACATAGATTACTAGATAGATAAGTAGATAGATAGATAGGGATATATATACAAATATATATATATATATATATATATATGATTGATTGATAGGTAAATAGATAATAGATAAAGTGAAGGTTAGATAGATGGAAGAATGGAGGATGGATAGATGCTTGGATGTTTGGATGGACTGATGGAAAGACATATAGTTAAATATATTTTTATTTTTTATTTCTTTATTTGCATGTAAATATCCATTTCCACCACCAATGGCTGCATATCAATGATTTACATATAGTTGAGGCATATATTCCATAGCCAAAACTTTTTGAAGGGGCCTAAATTATTAAGCAACTTTTTGTATATTAGTTGAAAATTATATTAATATATCATTTAAACACTAATAAAATCTAAGTATGAATTTTGATATATTACTTGCAATAAATATAAAACTTTTATTCAAACTCTACTAAAATCCACTCCAGTCATATCAGAAAATGTCATCTAAAATAACAGCATTTAATATACAAGGTGTCCCCAAAAATGTATATACATCTATATATATAAAAGCCTAAGCAACCGTTCAACCATCTGACTGTCCGACAGGTAGCTATGATGTGTAATGACCACCAGGGGGCAGATGATCCTACAGGTAGCTATGACACCACTGACCACCCTGGGGAAGACACTTAACGCAGGAGCTGCCAAGCTGTGGTGACTTGGCAGCTGCAGTTCTTGGGTGATGCACTTGGAACCAGAGAGGAGGGAGCCTGATTCCGGGGTGAGTCACCCGAGAACCACCCTCTCTCAATCCAGGACCCATCAGGGGATGTCAGAGAGCTGGTTTTGGCCCAATCCCCATAGGCCAGGCCGAGGGACCCCACCGGTGCACTGGGCCTCTAGTACTTTGAATAATTATAAAGACAGTGTTTATTTAAAATACATTTTATTTTCATTTAATAGCTATCAGCTGTTAAAGTGTTTATACATTTTTTGGGGACACTCTATATTATTGTCAAGACACTGAACAGCATTTCATCATCTTTAGATCTTTGTTAAAAATGAAATAACTTAAAAATTTCTCTCAGGTATGCAGGGATAAATACATTATTCATTTAATTAAATAACTATTTTAAAAATTACCAAAACATTAATATATAAGTTAAGAATTAAATTTTGGATTATTTCATTTCTTTTAATTTCTCATTTTATGTTTTTGGTTCAAACATAATTTAAGAATTTTAGCATATCTAAGAAATGAAGAAAGGTAATATAGGAGGGATTTTTCTTTTTATTTAAATTATGGATTCTTATCAACTTTTAAAGTTTTTATATTTTTAACTTAGGCAGTGGTTGTGGCAAATGACTTGAAAAATCAGGATAAAGATGATAAAATAAAGCAATTTCATCAGCAACTTTGCCACATTTATTTATTTACATAAACTGATGTCTATATTTGATTCTTTTGCTGTTTTAAAATATGTCTTCTAGTGAAGGTTAAATTTTACCCAAATTGCAGTCTGTTTCTTTGTCTCTTTCCAATTGTACCTTTAGGCTCTATGTCCCAGGAGGATAGCATATAAGAAATGCTTAAACATATTGACTGAAAAAATCAATGGATGGATTAATGTGCATTGTCCGATGAATTGGGCCTTCTGATTTTAAATCCTACCAGGAATTATGGCATTTCTTTTTTTTTATTTCTATAGTTTGGACTAACAATACAAGAAAATTATTTTGTCTATTTTATAAACTAGAGGGCCAGTGCAAGAAATTTGTTCACGGGGGGGGGGGGGGGGGGTCCCTCAACCCAAGCTGGACCCCCCCCAATCTGGGAACCCTCCAGGAAAGTCCGACTGGTCGTTTAAGCTCAAACCTGGGGGGATTGGGCCTAAAGGGCAGTCAGAAATCCCTCTCATAATTCAGGA